TTGCTAACAGCCAGAGGTGTGCTCACTGATACAATGTTTATTCCTAAAGGTCTACACAAATGATCTTTCTAGCTAGAGTCCTGGGGAATCATTCAGTCATCATCATCTTTTAATTAGTTTAGTGAATCCAATCACAGGGAAAACAAAAACAGTGCCATGGGTTCCCTTCTGCCAGGGTCCACATTGCTTACCTTAGTCCAATTTATTTACCAAGTCCCCTTGTTTCTAAGAGGATGTAGATGGTGGAGTGAAATATACCTCTCTCATGTGTTTGTACATAAATGTATGCATAAACATAGGTGTGGTACAGCATGAAGTAGGTTTTTTTTCATGTAAATAGATACTTGGAAATTGTCACATCTTGGGTTTAAGTTTAGTGAAATGGTTTGGCTGTGTCCCCACCCAAATCTTATATTGACTTGTAGCTCCCATAAGCCCCACATATCGTGGGAGGGACCCAGTGGGAGATAATTGAACTATGGGGGCAGTTTCCTCCATACTGTTCTCATGATAGTGAATAAGTCTCACAAGATATCATGGTTTTATATGGGGTTTCCCCTTTCACTTGGCTCTCATTTCTCCCTTGTCTGCCGCTATGTAAGATGTGACTTTTATCTTCTGCCATGATTGTGAGGCCTCACCAGCCACATGGAACTGTGGGTCCATTAAACTTCTTTTCCTTTGTAAATTACCCAGTCTTGGGTATGTCTTCATCGGCAGCATGAAAACGGACTAATACATTTAAAGATTAAAGACGACATCCAATCTATAAAACACAATCTCTATTGCAGCCTTTTGTTTTCAGAGATGGAGGGCAGGTGAAGTCATGAAGACAGAATGTTTGTAAAACTGGTTTCCTGGCACTCAGTACTGAGAATGAGACTCAGGTCAGGGTAATTTCATACTAAACACGGGGTCTATTGTCTAGGTATCTTCTAGTCACATCAGACTTAAGGTTCCAGCTTGGTCCTTTCTCAGATTCAACCTTTGCCATTCAATCATAGCTGACATGGCAAACACTTCTGGTTACCTATCAAACATCCATTTTCTTTTCCTTATTAAGAGAAATTTGTTTTGTTTTGTTTTGTTTTCAGGGGAGCAGGGAGGTGATGTGGTAGCAAGGTCCTCACCAGTAAATGGTATTTTCTAGCTTCCTTTGCTGCTAGAAGTGGTCATGTGATGCAGTTCTGACCAAAACATAGAGGTCGAAGTTTTCTCAGCAAGTTTTGTTTTCATGATGCAGATCTCACCCTTTTCTGTTTCCCTCTCTCTTTTCTAAATGAAACTGGGATGTGTTTGTTGGCTGGAGCTGCAGCCACCATTTTATAGGTAATCTTGAAGGGAAATTTAAGAAAATCACAAAGGTCTTGGCTCCAAATCCTTGGATCACTGCACTGGCCTGCACCTCTGGCCTCTAGACGTCTTGTGATATGAGAGAAAATCACACTTCTACCTGCTTTAAGCCATGGATATGTGGTTTAATTTGGTTTTGTCACATGTATCCAAAAACTATTTCTAATTAATATAGATACAACTGACAGCCAAAGTGCCACATGTTTCCATAGGAGAGGGTGCTGGATTGTCAGTCATTGGTATAAATCAATAGAAGAAATCTCTTCTTTCGAAATATTAAACAAAAATAATTATCATCAGAGTAGATTTTTACATTAAAAAATATACATTAAAAACTCTTAGAGCTAAATAAATTAAGAGGCAAAAAAGGATATTTAAAAATATGAATTATCAAGTTTGTATCACGTCCAAAGTGTGTATGTGTGTGTGTATAATAATTAATTGTATAACACACACACACACACACGCATATATATATAATTATTATTTTTTTTTTTGAGGCAGAGTCTCACTCTGTTGCCCAGCCTGGAGTGCAGTGGCATGATCTCAGCTCACTGCAAATTCTGCCTCCCATATTGCAGCAATTCTCGTGCCTCAGCCTCCCAAGTAGCTGGGATTACAGTCATGTAGCACCATGCCTGGCTAATTTTTGTATTTTTCGTAGAGATGGGGTTTTGCCATGTTGGCCAGGCTATTCTCAAACTGCTGACCTCAGGTGATCTGCCCACCTCAGCCTCTCAAACTGCTGGGGTTACTGGTGTGAGCTACTGCACTTAGCCACCAAAGTATATTTTTAATGTTTAAATATTTCTTTCAAGATGAGCTAAGGAATCCAAACACTCTTGGAAAGAGTAGTATATAATTAGTGGCAGAAAGTAGAAGGATGAAAAATACATTTTCTTCCTTGAGGCTATTAGAGTTTCCTTTGGAGTGTGATGCGTCTTTCGGCATTAATCACATGGCCCTCTAACCCCCCCATGTCGTGATCTACCTCTTCTGTCCATCATATATATGTTCTACAACGCATATATATGTTATATAACATTTGTGAACTAAGTAGAGTGGAAAGAAATGGAGGAGAGGATTCAGTGTCACATCTGGGTCTGATTTAAGGTGATTAATTGAAAAAAAAGCCTTTGGAGGTGGGGCTAGGAGCCTTTTCCATGCGCATGGTGAACACTGATCCTTTGCTGTGAGGATGACAATGGTGCATAATTACACATCTCCCTTGAAGAGTTATTTCATGTTGTCTGAACAAAACAGCTGGTGGCTAAGGAAGTGAATAATGCAACCTCCACATTCTGCTTAGATTACTCCCCAAACATCCAAGCTGGGTTAAGATACTCCATAATGATTAAATATCCCCCAAGTAGGGACTAAAAGGTGAGAATTTTGAGGCTAGAAATTGTACTGCACTGCTGGAAATGCCTGCTTGGTGTGTCACTGAACCTCTAATCATATGCAAAGACTGCCAAATTGCCCAGAGCAATCCACCCTGTGGCACTAAAAAATAAAAGTAAAAAAGACTGCTTTTCAAAGGACAAATCCAAAGGCCATTACTGCTTTCTTCCCTTTTGGATTCTTCCTTCTGATTATCCTGCTTTACTGCAAGGATTTCTAAGGCATCTGCTCTTAAAAGCAATCTTCTCATCTTGCTGTACCGTGGACACGGATTGTGTGCTGTGCAGAACAGCCACCAGGCTCCTGCTTTTCCTGCGTCCCAGGCTAGGGACTAACTGTTCTTTAGAGTGGGAATGGGCAGGAATCAAAGGGAAAACTTTGGGGTGGGGAAGGAGAGGGGCATGTATTATCTGTGGTCAACCGCATCTCTGACACCCTCTCTCCATTTTGATAGGGTCCCATTATTTTAATCCCAAGTTCCCAAAGTAGAATCCTAAAAACTCCATTTCCCAAAAGCCCTTGCAGCTAGGCACAGGGATATGATGTAGCTTCCACCAATCAAACACTCATTCAACACTGATTTGGGAGTCTCAGGGAGCATGCTACTGCAGGCACAGGTGGTAGCAGAGACAGAGGAGAGAGTGGGTGCAGACTCAGGCAGTTCCGCAGCATGCATCTCATCAATACACTTAGAGACAGGGCTGTGGGTACTGAACCTGCAAGTTTAGGCTTGAACCCGGTTCTCTGGTCTTCCCTGACTAATACCTACTCATCAGCTTTCTCCTCTTCTACTTAAACTACACAAGGGTAGCTAAAAATTACCTGACCAAATAGGCACACACATGGGTAATATGATAAAACTTTCTTTGCAAATGTATATTTTTTAATTTTGCAGGGAAGAGCATACCTCTCAAAAAGATTCTAGCCTTGACCTGGGTTTGGCACAGAGGAGCACTGCAAGGGTGAGGAGCTTTGAGCTGTTCTGTCGCAGTCAGAACTCCTGGAAAAAAGTGATGGCTGCGAAAACACGGGTTCACGTAGGTTTACTCTTGTGAAACAGCCTAACAAGTGATAGTATAGAAGGGGTTATTCTAGGAGCATTGTCCTATGTCCAGGAAACCTTTTCTCTTTGCCTGAAATGCCACAGTTAGAGAAAGCGTCCCCTAAGTCTGGAAGATTTTTTTTTTTAGCTCTATGATTGTCCTATTGGAAGGCATATCCTTGAGAGGGCTTACACCTTCATCATCAGTGCATGGAGGCTTTAGCTGACATGGCTCAGGATCATGTTCTTGGGAAAGAGGCTGAAGATAGTCTCATGATTAGAGAACAGGGGCCCCGTAGAGGAAGGTGGTAACACTGAAAACACAGTTCACACATTTTCCCAGGTCTAGCTGTGCATATGCTGTGAATCAACATGGTTTTAAAAGAAATTAGAAAGAACATATCATCTTTTATGCGGTTCTTAGGAAATCAAAACAAGAGCAAGACAAATCTCTTTAAGGTTGCAAATGTGATTTTCCTAAATGAAGAAGTTCCAAACATATGGCAAGAAGCTTCGAAATCTGTTAATGTGCAAATGTCATGATAAAAAAGGAAATGGTAAAAAACAAAAAAAAAAATAGAACTGGTGAGTGTTATCAAACTGCCAGGCCATATTCTCTGAAAATGGAAGGAACTGAATTCATCTTATCCTTTAGCTGTGGAGCTAACTAAATCTGGCACTGAGGACGACTCCTCCCAGACTGGTGATGAAATTTTGAAAAAACAGTGCCACTTGCAAGGCATAAATATACTGAAAGGGAGGTTTAAAATGAGTAATGCAGGGAATCTGGTGACTGTGGATGTCTAGATCCCAGCTCCATTTACTATGTGACTTGGGCAAGGCACTTGATCTCTCTAATCCTCTGTTTTCTCATCTGGTAAATGAAAATGATAATTCTCAGCTTAAAGGACTATTAGGAGATGTCCAGCAATAATATCAGCAACATACCTGGTCATGGAAAGGGTTGAAGATTAGGGAATTCTTAAGTGATGGATAGAGCTAGCCTCCATCTTCAACCTAGCCCACCTGATTCAAATGAGAAAGTAAGGGTGCCTCTGGAAAGGCTCTAAGTCACTGCAAGGATTCAGAGGGAGAGCTTCAGCCTGACTTGGTCAGTGAGCACACAAATATGTCCTGAAGCTGTTTGTTCATCTCTGCCCCACTATCCTCTCACTTGGGATTGAAATAAGAGAACAGCCTGCCCTTTGGACAATGTGTTTAAGCTTTTATTGTGAATGGTAACAGCTTGGGGCCTTGAATCTAAGCAACAGATAGCTTAGATGTAAAAAGCATTCATTGGAAGACTCTTTGACATTTGTTCACAGCAAACAAGTTCAAACCAGAAGATGCTGCTTGAAAATCATGAATTTAGTCAAGAATGAAAGATACAAGAATAGTCAAGTATTTTGCACAACGAAATCTTGTTGATGATCCAGTAGAATTGATGCTTGCCGAATGCAGTCTCTTACACGTTTTGTTTTTCTCCTTGGAGAGAAGCCATCATTGTCATTGCTGGTTCCGCTGAGGGGTTCCTTCCTTCACGTTGAGAACCTGGAGCAGAGAGTCTACCAACTTAAGAAATACTAGAAAGAGTTCAGCAAACAGAGTGAGCTGAAGTCTAATCCTAGAAATAAATCCATTCCTACAAGCCATGAACATTACTTGTGAGCTTGTTAGAAAGGCAAATTCTTGGTTCAACCTAACAGCTGCTAAATCAGAAACTCTGAGGGCGGAGCCCAGCAATCTGTGCTTTCACACGCCCCGCAAGTGATTCTGAGCACGTAAAATTTGAGAACCAGAGCTGTCTCCCGCCAAGAGACGAACTTCTACTTGTTTTTTGAGCTTCTGCATTTTGGAGTCTTTGTTTTATCAGCTTAATGTGCACCCTGATATGATTACTCAGGTATGTTTTAACCAATGTTGGTTAATGTATCATCTCCAGGAACTTATGCCTAGAGTAGCAGCTGGGTGGTAGATTCTGGGAATGTGGAATTTGAATTCTTACTTTGCTCCCTTTGACAGTGCACCATGACACAAATCAAAGCTGGTTTCTGAATTACATAATTATACATTACAAACCTACAAGTGTAAACGGTAGTAGTGTGGGAAACTTGGGAAGAGGATTTAATTTGGATTTCTGCCAATTCTAAATTTATTGTGGTTTGCTTGTAGTGGCTTCTGCTCAAATTAACTAAGACTAAAGAAAGAATGAGTAGTTATAATTTAAAATACTTCTTTGTTTCCGTATAGCACCCTTTACACGCTGAGACGAAAAAACACTTTTTGTTGAGACTAGAGCTTATTACTCTTCCCAAGATTCTCTGGCAATTCAGATTCCTCAACTTCCATATCAGCCATTTGTTTCTAATAAAGGAGCTACTGCTATTCTTGGGCAAATTATTACCTGCTCTGTGGCTCAGTTGTTTTGACTATGTGCTAATGAGCCCAGGGCCTGGGGTTTGATTCCCACGCATGCCAATTAGCACCAACCCAGGCTGCCCTATTAAAGGCTGCCACCTGTCCAAAGAAGCCACCACACATCTTGCCTTATGAGTCACTGGTCATAAAAGGGGCCAGCTAATGTGTGGGGGAAAAAGTCTACATAAGTCCCTCATTGGCTCAAAATATTGAATAAGAGAGGTTTGGCTGAAGGGAATGGAAGCTAAAAGGAAAAAGAGGGTTGTGGAACCTAGGAAGATCAAGGACCTGGGAGACAATAGCAGGGTCCTTTGTTGGGGTTGGGGAGGAGCTGTATTCTAGGTGGGAGCCAGCTTTACTCTGCTCCTTCATGGAAAGAGCCAAGGTCATCAGAAGGTTATGAGTGATTCTTGATTGTATGTTGCTTTTTCTGTATTTGGCACTTCCTTTGGAGCATTTCAAATATTCAGAAACAAGACCTTTCTATTCTCTGTCCTGATTTAATGAGAAAGTGAGAGCAGTCCCTTAAAGGTGAGGAACACATTTACTTTCTTTCCATAACAGCCTTTGTAGCTCACTTCCCTGCCCACTAAATAAAAGGAGAAACCTAAGCTGCAAAGAATAAAGGACTGAGTCCAGTTATAATGGGAGATCAAAGGCCAACTCCACTGAAGCTCAGGACGACACACAACCACCTCCAGGATCATGGATGAGGCCATGGAGCCGATCTGAACAGAGATTCACGTTGCAGAACCCATGGGGAAAAGGTTCCATTAATTGCAGAATAGAATTAAAAGATTTGTGAGAAGGGCACAGTTAAAAGGATTGAGGTTAACCTTGAACATCGCTGGGTATAATTGCTCTGAAAGTTCTGGAGCTGTTTCCATGATAGGGTAATCTAGTTTCAGTGCACATTACACACATCGTTTATGAATTAAGTAAATATCTTTGTCATCAAAACATAGGAAATGCTCAGAGTTTCTAACTACATCTCCAAGAGGGTTGGCAACAGTGCTTGATGTTTTATTACTAAGATGGGAGAGGAGAGCATCTGCAGATAGCTTTTAGTTTTAAGAACAGTCCTTCAGCCTCTGAAAACTCCTGATGCTAATTCTGGCAATGCTTGGCCAAGTTATTAAGCTCCTCTCTAACGCTCCCATAACTCTAAGATATGGGAGATATATGGGCTTCTAATAGAACTATTCTCTTGGCAATGCTTCCTTTTGAATAAGATCATTGTAGGTTGTTTTCAATTTTCATAACAACATATTTTCATCGAGGTGAAATTTCCAGTGCAAGAGAAGCGATGAAATATTTTGGTCTCTACAAAGACTGACAGTGGAATTTGTTTTCATGTTACCAGGAAATATAGCCAAAAGGATAGTACCAATGTGTGCAATAACTAACTATTCAACTGGAGGTGGAATGAAATGAGACCGGCTTTGTAAACCTGTACAAAGAGAAACAACGCATAAAAAGAATAGAAAAGCGAAGCCTGATTACGTTTTATAATCTTTTTGATGACCTTTTTCAGTTCACTTGGGTTAAGTACTGCTCCCTTTAAGCAGTCACTTCACGGCCTCCCACTCAACCCATCCTGCTATACTGCCACTCAGAGCCCTTTGTGGAGCTGTTTTTTTGCAATTGCCTTTGAAGCTTACAGAATAGTCTTTGGAATATGGTGGAAAATTTGGGATCCTTAAGGAAAGAGTTGAATTTTCCAAAAGATTTCAAAGATATGCAGAGCCAGATTGAGGAAATAATAAACTGGACACTGCTGTTTGTTTCAAAAATGAGACAGTTTAGAATAGCAACATGATTGTGTGTTAGGAGAGGGGACTACTTAATGGAGGAGCTGTGAGGGCAAGTCAGTTTCAAGGTCTGTAAAAATTATTTTCAAGGGTTTTGTGGTGGCGATTTTGTTATTCTTTAGACAAATGAAAAGGGTTCTGCTGTTGGATATCCACCTACAGGAACTCCAGCAAAGCACTTGACTGTGAAAAAGGCATGGCCAGCTAGAATCTGAAAAGTCACCCGCAAGTTCCCAGAGCCCTCGGAGTATGGGATCCATCTAGAAAGAAGGAGGCTGAAGACATGACACCTGTGACACAGGTATGGACCAGACAATCACCTAGGGTTTTGTCCAAAGTTGGTATTTATTTCTGAATTGGTTTATTTAATCCTAGATTTTTTTTCCTAAATAAAAGCTACAAAGACATTCCCTCTAGGTGCTTAGGGCAACGGATGAACTTTAGTTTCCATTTAGCATAGAAATCCACATTCGGGAGGCCGAGGCTGGGGGAAATCACTTGAGCCCAGGAGTTTGAGACCAGCCTGGGCAACATAGCCATTCTTTGNAAAAAAAAAAAAGAAGAAGAAAGAGAAAGAAAGAGAGAGAAAGAAAGACAGACAAACGGATAAGCACATAGGCAGACCTTGCCAGAAAGAAAAGAAAGAAGAGAAAACAAAAGAAAAGAAAGAGAAACAAAGACCACAATAGGCCCAAAAGGCAGTGAAATAGAAAGCCTCCCTCCAGAAAGCCAACTGAGGCTTGGCAAAGGCAGCTCTGAGCCTCTAAAGGGGCTGTCAGTCTTCACCATGAAAGAGTGAAGAAGGAAGCTCTTCAAGCACTGTGAGTGGAAAGCAACATTATTTATTGTGTGAAGCAGCAAGAAGCAAGGCCTTCAGCCTGCATCCTTTATATTAAGATCAGTGAGGACCATTTCTGGAGGCTGTCTTGCATGGTACAGACTGAGGCAGATTGAGCACAGGATCTTACCCTGATTTTATCAATGAAAAGCCATGGGACTAGTTTCCTTCCTTCTAAAATGGAGGTAATAATAGAATCTTCCTTCTAAAATTGCTGTGAGCATAAACCAAGAAAATGGAGGTAAACTGCTTAGCCCGATAACTGGATTATAGTAAATATTCAACAAAACTAGCCGTTATTGTTATTGCCATTATTTTGTAGTTTATTATACATTTCGTGGAATCTTAAAAGTTAGTGATAATCACCTCATTTTCAGTTGCCTTACTTTCTTCCTATAAATTTTATTCTCTCTCGTACCTCGTTCACTGTCTTTGTAACTAAGCATTGCCAGTTTGGTATAATTATTTTTCCCTATCCTCTATAAAAGCATATACAGGATGAATTTGTTGACCTCAGACCTTAAAATATTAGGATGAAACCTGAACTTGGTACTTCTGTAACAAATATGAAGATGTGCTACTTTGTGTCAAAGGCAGAAAACAAGAATCCTCCCTTCTAAATATAGGAATGTCCACTAATGTTCACCAGAAATAAATGTAGAATCTGTAGGTCCACAGGGATTTACTCAAATAGTTTGCAGACTCGCTATCAAAATGTTCTGGAGGGCCTGGCTGTTAAAAATATATATATCCCATCCGTGCATAATGGCAAATAGACAAATTGCTGGAAAAAAAAAAAAAAAAAAAAAACCTCCTAAATTGGAGTTTGGAATCAATACCCTTTTGACTATTAGGCCAAAAAGAAGAGAACATAGAAATTTTCTATTGGCTTAGCATGTATTGGTGTTAGCCTAATGTAGCAGCTGTAAAGGTTTATATCACAAGCAATTTTATTCTTCCTTATTTAAACTTGCCCTCTTTCACCTCTCCCCAAATACCTCCCACCCCATCTCGCATGTATCTTTCTTTTACCTTTGCGTTTTGAACCTACATCTTTGAAGTTGCTGCTATCCCCTGAATCCCACGAAGGCTGGTGATGGCCCAGGGCCTCGGGTTGAGGTGGCTGGTGGCTTCTATTCTCCTTGGCTTCTATGAGACCCAGCAAATTCCTTGCAGCTTCTTCCCACCTGATGTACTTTCTCAGCTGCTGCTTGAGGCTCCCTCTTTCAGAAATAGAAGACTCTCCTGTGCTCTTTTTCCCCATTAAGTGCCCTGCAAAATCCAAATCAAAAATACTCAGAATGCCACACGTTTAACCAAAGGGAATGAATGAATGAGAAATTTGAAAGGACACCAATTGTGTTTGTGCTGCTTCCTTCTAAATGCAGAATAAATCACATTTTATTATTAAGAGTTAGTTCATAAACGACAGATAGATTTTGCTCGCTGTTCAAAATGTGCAATGAGCTAGACAGAATTCAGAACTGCAGCTCAGGAACCCTGGGTTTGGTTCCAGCACCTCTACTAACTAGTTAGGTGACCTCTGCCAAGTCATTTAGCACCCCTAGTCTCCAATTTTCTCAACTATGAAATGAACAGGGTAGACTAGATTAAATCTAAGGAGGCTTCCATATCTAAAATTCTATCATCAATTCTGTGTGCTCCAAATTCTATTCCCAACTGAAAGACGGAGTTGAAACATCTTCCCCAGCCAATTTTGAATTGCTGCTGAAAATAAAAGTCTCCATGCTTTTCTTTGTGTGATTTTTACAAAATATTGCTTTCCTTTTATCTGTAGTAAAAAAGTACCAAAGGAATTTTTCATTTAAACTTTCTCAGAATTTTTGTTGAGATTGAACCTAGGAAACTACCCAGATTTACTGTTTGTTAAGAGTGTAGCAAAAAACAAGTGGAAAACAAGCCCTAAGTAACACTTTCCAGCGCATAAATGCAGAATTTTCTCTTGAGCGTCTGAAAGTCTATCAATGGCTCCAGGGATGTGTACCTGCCATGTAAATAAAATTTTTAAAAACTGCTGTTAAGGAGGCCAAACTGCTAAAAACATGAAAATTTACGTATACAAGAGAGGATAACTTGGAGTCAGAAGTGAGTACAGAATTCAAGGTCTGCATTCTTAACACTTTGGATGCTTGCTTATTATTCTCATGTTATCTACTTTTTCCTATCTCTCTGTAATTGGGCTTTGCAGTGCTTTGAAATTTCTAACATCAACAAAACTATGGTGCTTTTGATCTAAAGCGCACAAGGAAAAAGGTCTTTGTGGTCCCAATGCTACTGGCATTAGAAGTATTTAAGGCAGACATCACATTTGAAAGATCTTCAGTCTTAAAATGGAAAGAGGTCCCTTCCCAGAAGTTCTATCTACCAACAGGGAAGCCCTCACTGTAACTGTATTGCTTTTATGTGTATTACGATTTGCAGTTTATGGGATGTTTAAATGTGCTTGATTTCATTTGATCCATATGCTAATTGGTTTTGTGAAAACGAGGCTTGCCAGAGGTCACACAGATGTAAGCAACTATTTTAGGATTCAAATCCGCTCACAATCTAGATTACATTATTATACTGCTTGTCAATGTCTTTTGACTTGCTAAGAAATGTAAGGTAGCTAAAATCATTCTGGGATCTGGAAATAAGGATAAGGTCTACAAAAGGCTTCCTGATGTCATAAAAATAGGGATTATATGTCAATATATCATGATGTATTATGTGAGAAAAATGAATTATTTGAGTATTAAGGAGCATTAAAATGAGATTCTACTGCATTGCAGTGTGAGCACTTGCCAAATCGCTTATGACACGAGACTTCACACAATTTCTGGATCCTAACTGGGGATACTGTCCCAAGTGAAGTCCTGGAATCCTGAATGAGTGGCTTCTCATTTATCAGCTTGGTCATGTGGTACTCAGCCACTCAATAGCCTTGCATTCAGCCATAACAGTGATTATGTTGTGCAACTTCCTAGGAAGGAGCGATGCATTTGGCTTTATTTATATGGAGGAAATTGAATCATGATGCTTGGAAGCAGGATTAGAACCCTGATACTCCCAGTAATGACCTAGATCACCTTGCCCTCCTAACTGCCTGTCATCTGGTTAGAATGCTGGAAACAAGAAAGGAGTTATTGCTAGTGAGGCAGAGGAGTGGTGGAAATATCACACATAACAACCTCATATTTGTCATGCCTGAATAATTTTGTGGGCTCTTCTAAAATGGGAAGAGAAAGTCATTCTCCATTCTGTGATTGTACTAAATTTCAGTACTTGCATATATGGGGAATGTGTGGGGATCAGTTCTTCACCTCTAGATCCCTAGACTGGTTGTTAAGGAAAGCATGCTGTCTAGAATGTCCCAGGGAAGCACATGTTCCCTGGACCCTATTTCACTTTTGAGCTGGGCTCTGTCAACCAAATCATCATCTCCATGACAACGTGGAGATGATGCCCACTTCCACCTCCTCTCTTAATATCATTTGTCAAGTGCCCGTATCATAATAATGGAAATCTCACCATAGACAAAAGATAGGCACTTGGGAAAAAAAAAAAAAAAAAAACCTTGCTCAGAGAAAAAAAGGGCTTTTGTTCTTTTTATCAATCATTTAAAGATACTAGTAAAGGGCAGGTTTGAAACATAAATGAATAAGGCATGGATGAAAGTGTTGAGTACTCCTAAGAACTAGTTTTTCTGGACCCACACTTAAATTCTATTTCACAGTTCCCAGGGCCATAACAAGCCATTCTGCAACTGAATACTGGTATTTCCAAATTCAACCTTCTGGGGCATGCCTCACATCCAAGTTAGAACCACAGTTAGGAGCATTTCATGGGTGCACATGGAATAGTTGCCAGTGGAAGTGTTGACATATATTTTCATCACGCAAACCAAACGTTTCCATGAACATCAAGCCAGATAAAAATCTGTTAACTTTTCAAGCTGTTAACCTGTTTTCCATTGCTGCACCGTGCTTCTCTCAGCTGGAAGAAGCAATTCACTTAACAAGCCTGTAAATGTATGCTGACAGCATACTCATGGACAGCAATATGTAGCTTTAGTTTTATATAATTAAAACTAAACTGCATGTCTTTGGTGATAGGGGAGGATAAGCGTTTTCTTGGGATAATTGAAGGCTAAATTTAAAATCTAACATCACTCATCCTTGTAAATGTTCACATTCCAACAGAGGGCATGGTACTCAAAGCAAACTTTTTCTCAACCACAAGTTAATTTTAGGCCAAAATGTGAGTTTCTACTTCACCTCCCTCTTTCCCTTGCTCCTTCTCAACTCTGCACAGCTATCAAAGGGAAGAAAAGAGGTGCATTTGAGAATAAATATGACAGTGGTATTTGAGGTCACCACTGGTTGATACACTTTTGGGTTAAAAATCCTCAAGTACCGCTATGAAGGGCAATTAAATGGCAGACGCACTAAATACCTGGAGGTAGATGTTCTCCAGAACTATAAAAAATCAAGATTGGCCTGACTGGCACCAGAAATAACATGATGTTGGCTTCCAGTTAACTCGATTGTCCTCTTTTGGGACTACAAGAGTTACCTAATAATAAGCTTTATTAGTACAATAATATAGATGAGTAAAAAGAGATTGGAAATCCAAACGTTTCATTCCACATTTCCAGCTCCATTGGCAGGTGGCTGGGCCAGATAATGGCCACTTGATCTAAGCTCCCAGAAGCTCTCTTTAAGAAGCATAATTCTAAGTGCGGATTCTTCAACACCTGCTAAGCATCCTTCATTCTTGAAATGGAGAGTTTTTCAGCTTCAGCCATTCCAGTCTCTCCTCTACACACCGGGAACTGGGTTCCTCCCATTCCTCAGCGATCACACATCCTCAGCCCGGAACTCTCCAGACGGCAAATGATTATTTCAGCAACAGTGAAAACCACTCTGTTGCAACCCAGAGATCTCGACTTCCCTCTCAAAGCACACACAACACAGAAGAGCTCAGGAAGCAACAGTTCCAGTCCCACCCCTTTCCCCAAATTCTTGGTCTTCTATCAAGATTTGTGAATCAGCCAATATGTGAATTAGCAAGTACCTGTTCAACGCACCATTCCCCGGCCCCCCTTCTAAGTAGACGGCTAAGGAAACAAACACACACACACACACACACGCACACACACACACGCACACACACACACACACACCCTTAAATCTCTTCAGGGATTAACCAGCTTCCCAGGGAGCTGGTTGGGGTTGTTGTAGTTGGCTATTGTGGGGCGGGTGGGATCAGGAAGTGAGGAAGCTGGACGCTCTGCATTTGCTGGAAGCTGTGCTTGGCAAGGCGGAGAGCCCCAAGGTAATGCTGGATGAGCCGAGGCTGCTGGGCGCTTCCTGCCTCCCAGCTGCACAAAAGCCCTGAGTGCCCGAGGTGCGGCATCCTGACCCCACCTGGAGGCGCCCTCAACACCCGCAGCGAGGAGGTCCTCTCCACCCGGGTTCTGGGGGCCATGGCAAGGGAGCCTCCAAGCCCATGCCTAGAGAGCAGGACTTGTTGCAGAGGGAATGGGAAAGAGCTAAGGGAAAGGTCGAAGTCCTGAGACTAGAGGGGAGGAGAAAGAGCCGAGCTCAGAAGGGCAGAGAGATCGGGATGAGCTTGGAGAGCAGGTGAGATTCCCCAAGTGCAGACCCTGCTGGCTGGGAAGAGGGAGGGCAAAAGGGCAGGGAAAAGAATATCGCTGCAAAGCGAAGAGAGGGACTGAGAAAACTCCAGAGAGCCACAAACAGGCGGGATTCAGTCACTGCTCGCTGAACAGATGTAAAACGCGAGGCAGGAGCGCTGCGCCCTCGGTCCCCACACCTGTGGCTTTGCGGGGCGTGTGGGCGCAGCTTAGATTTCAGCCCACACGAGTTGGAGTTGAGGCCACCCACCGAGCTGGACCAAGGATCTGAGATGCTCTCGAGGGACAAAGCTCCCCAAGAGTATTCAAGGAGAGTAGCGTGCCAGACTGGTTGAGACTAGGCGGACAAAAGGGGATGTAGGATGGGCGCAGAGGACGAGGATCTGCACTGTGGTTGGGTGTTTGTTTCCCCTGGGGAAGACAGGGAGACAGATGGGAAGCGAGTGGGAAAGGATCAGGGAACCAGCCTGCGGCTGGTGTGGGACTGATGGGCTGCCTAGAATGGGGAAAGGTGGGGTGGAGTTTTAGGAGAACCAGGAAGGCGTTTCGGTAGAAGGGTTACAGCAAACCTAGCCCCCAAAGCAGGGCCCGGGAAACGCAAAGAAATGGGGAGACAGTTCCCCTCCGGCTGGCTGAGCCCGAGGAGGACAAGCGCGCGCGGCTCCCACGGCCAGGACACTCACCCACCGCCCAGTGGTTGCCGCGCGGGTACATCTTGGTCAGCACGGTCCCTCCGCCAGCCGGCATCGGGACCGCGGGCCCCTGGGGCGCCTGGCAGAGGACCAGCGCCAGCAGGACCAGCGGGAGCTCGCGGCAGCGCATGGTCCCGGTGGGAAGCCCTTGGAGCGTGGCGGAGAGGCTGGGCGAGGCTGGGAAGTGCGCCCTCCCGGCCGAGAGGCGACAGGTGACCCGGACCTCAGAGGCGCTCCGCTGCCGCAGCCGCTGGTGCTACTGCTGCGGCCTCCACCAGAGCCCCGACTTTATATGGAAGCCCGGGCGGGGGGGGGGCGCTGGGGGGTTCTTCCACCACGGACCCGACCGCTCTGACGTCTCCCTATAACTAGCCGGGGCGCTGGGACGCCCGGTCCGGAAAACCATCCATCTCCCCGCCGACTGATGAAAAGGCTGAGTGTACATTGCCCCCCTCTTTTTCCCTCATAGCCCAGTCCGCCTTCCTCACATCGGATTAATTCCTCCGGTCCTCGACGCCTTCCATCCAGCACAATTTAGTCAACTCCTCCCTCTCTAGCCTCGCTGGCGCCTCCAGTGTTAGCTGCCTGGGGATTCCTCGAGGGGGCGACCCCGCTGCCTGATCTAGGGCGGAGAGGGGGTGTAGTTGCAGAAGGGTGCGCTCTAAAGATGGATGCCCTGTGATGGATGGGCTTTGCTGGAGGGATGTGGCATCGCCATTGAAAGGGACTTTTGCTTCTCCAGACCTTCCTTCTGGTAGGTCACTTCCTTGCTGTCCCAACCCATAGATAGGGCTTGGACTTAGATAGGGCTCCAGACCTTGCCTCCTTCTTGCAGGTCTTTTTTTTTTCTCTCTCTCTCTCCTCTCTCCTCTCTCTCTCTCTCTCTCTCTTTCTCTCTCTCTCTCTCCTCTCTCACCCAGTAACCTTAACCCATCCAGTATTCCCAGGCAGCCCTGCCCACCTGTATGGCAAGACAAAAGATGATGGAGAAGATACCTGGTCCTTTTCACAAGCTTGCAGCTTCCAGGGGACAGAGAAAGAAACTGCCTGTATGCCAGGTTCCGTAGGCTGCATCTACCAGAAAGGTCAAACTGTCCCTAACTGCCACATACACACCTCTCTAATGTTGCTCAACGTCCCTCTGCTGCTACTGTTCTCAGATCTAAAGAATGGTCACCAGCCCAATCCCTGAGGTTCTAAATACCATGGATACAAAGGGGATCGGCACCATAGCAATGCAACAATAAATAGAAGCTGGTAGGATGCTGTTGCCCACGTCCTGGCTGCCAGAGCTGGTCGTGTGGTTGGAATAGGTGAAGTCTATTTCTTCCCAAATGCTGGTTAATTGCCTCCCTGGTGGGTCTTTAGCATCCCATGTCAACATGGTATTGATAATGATGAAGTCGAAAACATACGCTTGTGTCTGAGTATCTGCTGATTCCTTCCTTCCTTCCTTTCCTTCTTTCTTTTTTTTTTTTTCTGATAGAGTCTCACTCTGTTACCCAGACTAGAGTGCAATGGCACAATCTCGGCTCACTGCAACCTCTGCCTCCCTGGCTCAAGCGATTCTCCTGTCTCAGCCTGTAGAGTATCTTAGATTACAGTCGTGCATCACCACATCCAGCTAATTTTTGTACTTTTAGTAGTATTTATATTTAGGGGTTTCACCATGGTGGCCAGGCTGGTCTTGAACTCCTGACCTCAAGTAAGCTTTGGCCTCCCAAAGTACTGGGATTACAGGCATGATCCTGGCCTTCAATATATTCATAAGTGATTATACATGCACATTGCATGATTGAGTATTCTTGGATTTGATGAGTATTTTCATGTATACATCTGGGTCTGAAAGAAAAAAGTTAATTTTAAGATCATTAATACTATAGTAGCCAACAAAATACAGTAATACTATCCTCAGGGAGTGATCCAAGCAAAAATCAAAAGGTGCACAGATTGGCCTGGGCTCCATCCCTCCTGGGTTCCCAGCCTCTCTGCATTCTGTCCCCAGGCTCTTTCAGTAGGCGAGTGTTCCCCTGGCAGGTAACTGATCATCCCTAGGCTTGCTCCCTCTTACACAGCGAGCTTGCTTCAGCACAGGGACCTGGTATTGTTCCTCTGTGTGTCTGCAGAGCACCTGGATCATCGAATGAACAATAAAACTAAGAAGTGCCCAGACCTAAGAAATGCTGTCTGCAACCCTAGATCTTTGGAGACATACTAAACCCTTACCTCTCCAAATTAAGTTGTAGAAAAATGCTCTTTCTGTTTAGTTTAACCAGGATTATTTTAGAATATTTCAAATGAAATATCCGCCTCCCCCATCCCCATGAAACTAAGGGGAAACCACTGTAAAGACATTCATTCCAATGTTGAAATAGTTCTTTAGAAAGCACAACATGGCCGGACATGGTGTCTCACGCCTGTAATCCCAGCACTTTGGCAGGCAGAGGTGGGTGGATCACGAGGTCAGGAGTTTGAGACCAGTCTGGTCAACATAGTGAAACCCTGTCTCTACTAAAAATACAAAAAATTAGTCAGATGTGGTGATATGCACCTGTAATTCCAGCTTCTCAGGAGGCTGAGGCAAGAGAATCACGTGAGCCCTGGAGGCGAAGGTTGCAGTGAGCCGAAATCACGCCATTGCACTCCAGCCCAGGCGACAGTGCAAGACTCCATCTAAAAAAAAAAAAAAAAAGAAAAGAAAGCACAACACTTCTGCTAATACAGGCAACACTGTTTCATGTGTCCATTACAGACCAGGATATGACTAGGCCCCTCCGTTCACCTTAGCTCTTGCTCTAAGGCCACCCCAGCCCACAAGTTTCTACCTTGGCCTCCCAAAGTGCTCAGCTGGGCCACATGACTTGCTGCGGCACCCTATAAGGGCAGTACTCATGTCATCTTGCTCGAGACTGCATCCACAGTGCCTGGTCCAGTCTTAGGCACAAAGATGTGACTCAGGAGATTTGAATGAATACACCGTCCTCCAGGAATAAGAGGCTGAGTCCAAACTCCTAAGCAGAAAAGACAGTGGACTGTTTCCAGTTAGAGAATGGAACCTTTGCATGTTTGATTCAGCTGATATGAATAAGCCCCAGTAGATCCTGACTGGGTGCCCTCTCACAGACCTCTTAAAATCCTTACCACGGACAGCCAGGTAAATATGATTAACCCCACTGACGTAGCCAGGGGAAAGCTAAACTGTTATGAGAAAGAGACCTTGCAATGCAATGACCCATTCAAAAAAGAAGTCAGTTTCTCTTTTCTGTGCAGGGCAGGTGTTCCAGGTTGGCAGGCAGCTTGGCTCCACATTGATATTCAGAAACCTGGGTTCATACCACCTTGAGTCTCTGTCATTCTCTAGAGCAGCACTACTCCATGGGCTGGCCTGCAGGGAGAGAAGGAGCTTACATCAGAATGTAAGTCAATGCGCTGCTTCCTTCATCAAGAGCATCTTACTGTGAAAAAAAAATGTATCAGCCGTACTAAACAATGTGCATAGGGATGTCATTGATTTCTGTCCTAGCACAAGATCTTTACCTCACTGTAGATGGGGAAAAAACAGTTTGGGGATGAGCGGCTGATCTATGGACCACATGTGATGAGCACTTTCCCAGAGCACTTTCCTCTCTGCATGGCGTGGGTGGGAGGGGCTAAGAAGGGGAAGGTGAAAGAGGCACGCTCACTGTCTTAATATACCAGCCAGAATGAAGCATTTATCGCTTCTGCTCGTGTTTCATTAGTAAAAAAATCAGCCACATGGTCATAGCTAACTGCAAGAGAGATTAGGGGGTTACAGTTGGAATAGTCAGTTATACCTGGCTCTGATTGCATCTCTGTGGAAGAAGGAGTCCACAGAGTTTGATGATACCTAAGAAACTCTCCCAGAACCAATCTAGAGCCTGATAGTCCATGATTTATGTGGTGTCCTTTTAGCTCAGTGACCCCAGACATTTCATCACCGAGTGCATTTGTAAAATTATTTTATTCCATGGAGCTCAGGGGGATTTTGTTATTTGGGGGTTGGCTTTTGTTTCGAGAAAGGGTCTGCCTCTGTTGCCCAGGCTGGAGTGCAGTGGTGCAATCACAGTTCACTGCAGGCTTGACTTCCCAGATTCAAGTGATTCTCCCACCTCAGCCTTCCGAGTAGCTGACACTACAGTTGCATGCCACCACAGCTGGCTAAGTTTTGTATTTTTTGTAGAAACGGGGTTTCAGAGTGCTGCCCAGGCTGGTCTTGAACTCCTGGGCTCAAGCTATCCTCCCACCTTGGCCCCGAATAATGCTGGGATTACAGGCGTGAGCTACCTTGCATGGCTGAGTTCAGGTTGTGTTGAGCTTTTAACTGTGAAACAGATGATATGTATTTAGACTTCTTATTTTTATTCATCAAAGACATAAGAAACCATCAATCAATCAAGATTCTAATCAGATTGAAATAAGGAGCATCACCACAGAAAGTCGATGTAACTCCAACCTAAATCAATGAAACGCTGTATTTCAGTTTCTTCGTGGCTTTTTAAAATATGGAAAATAGCTCATGCATCTCTACCATTTCTCTTAGGGGATTCCAGGCTGAGAGTCTCTACTTATGTTTAGTGGCTATTTTTGCCAAATGACAATAGTTCAGTGAGGGGAAATACCTTAAGCTGTGACTGGCCATTTCTATGTGGAGCCAGTGAAGGCTTTGAGGGCTGGTCTTGCTGCAGTGAGATGCTCCAAGATTCCCAGGTCCAGGCTGGATGGAAGAAGCAGAGAAATAAGGAGAAGGACGGAGAACAGGGAGGCAGTGGTGAGGAGTTGAGGAGTCAGGCTGGCCTGGGCTCCACTTCCTCCTCTGACATTTAGGAACTGTGATTGGCACCTCACTTAGCATGGGCATGTCAGTTTCTTCATCTGTAAATTGACTTGATAATGCTTTCCTCCCTAGGTGTTAGGGCAGTTAAATGAGATCATGCATATCTATTGTCCAGCAGCTACTTATTCTGTAATAATAATGGACAACTGTAATTGCAGCAAGCTAATTTCTGTGTTAGATTGTGATTTTCAAGATAACATCATTTTCTTGTTCAAAGCCTATCCCACTGTTGTGCTATTTAAGTCTCCTGAGAAGGTGATTTTACAAATAACAGCTGCTGCTTAGTGAGCATTTATTATGTGCCAGAGACTGCATGTGACTTCACGTGCATTTGCTCATGTGCTCTTCACAGCTGTCCTATGAAATCCGTGTTGTTTACCCCATTTTATAAATGAGGAAACTGAGGCTC